GTGAGGTTCAGTATGCTTTCTAGTGCAGGAGCCTAGGGGGTTAGGGTTAATAGACATGATCAGGACAGAGGAAACAAGCTGCACGTCAAATACTGGTATGAACAAAATTTTTAAAAACCGTTCAGGTCCAGAGTCAAAGTGAAAATAAAATTCTCATGAGGTAAATGATATACTGTGCACATTGTTTTCTGTTTAAAATATTTGGGGGAAAAAATTCAGCTCAGAAATAAAATTCCTCTCACTCTAAGTCTACCTTTGTTCTTGGCAAGTGACGATGCATGACTTGTTACATGTATGGTTATCATACATGTGTAACACGATGTTCATGACCAGTGTACGCACTGCATCCACTGCCTCATCGACACTGATATACATGTAGACTGGCCCCTCATGATTTGTTGCGTTTTCAATTTGTATATGTAAGAAGGACTTAAGACCACTTCATTTGTCTGCTTCACAGACGTGGGCCCGGATCCAAATCAATTGGCTATGGCCGGAAATTACACCGAGTATTTGGCAGCATCCACGGCCACTTCCCATAGAATCATGCGTAATATCAAGCCGCAGCCAACTGATTTGGACATGGCCTTCATGTACACATACCGGTACATGAATGATGTCACCTGGTAAAAGTGCCCGACTGAAATATGTGTAGGCCGAGGGGGATTCCTTCACCGTACATACATGTATTATTACTCAACACCACCCATCAAAAACCCATTAAAATAACGTGGTAGCAGAATTCCTGCTGATCAAGTAAATTTGGCGGCTTTTGGAATTCGTTTTACGCAAAATAAAAAAATTTTCTTTATTTTGCCAACGTACAGGTCTACAGCAATGGGCGCAGTGACCAGAAACCGGAGACTTTTTGAGGGGCCTTAGAAAAGTGGAAATAAGTTGCTGACCTGGCCGGGAAAGGGCACCAGTTTTTCACACCAGCTAGAACCTTGAACATCTCTATGCAAGAGTGGTCTAGAGGGAGCTCCGGTGCTGATGTCCTCCAGTTTAGCAAGGTGGCACTTGAAGGAGGCATACAATAGGGCCTCAGTCGTGGGAAGGTTAGCAGGTAGGCCCAAGATCTGGATCATACCCTTTTGCAGGAAACGGAGACATGCCTCCGAAGGAGTTAAGTAAGCGGCAGAGTTAATGTCTTTGTCGTAGGACGAACCACGATCTACTTGAGTGGAAACGGAGACGTCATACGTGAACTGTAAAAGGTACCCGAACCCGGATAGGTTAAAGGTTGGAAGCCGTCATAGACTCAGATAGAGCTCTGCAGGCAGGAGATCCGGAGCAGTTACCTGGGGAGTGTGGTTTGACTAAAGGCAGCGGGCTATTGTAGACAGAGAGGGAGTGGAATTCCGTCATAAACTCAGGTGAAGAAATGTCTTGCTAAGATGAAGAGAGAAACTTCTTGTGCTTGGACCCCGTAGAAGACAGGTGTTTACACTTCTTATGTACAGGTGATCCGGCAGTAGAACCAGCGGATAGAGTCTGAAGAGCCAGGGCATCAAAAGCCCATCGAGATTGCAGATTGCACTCTGCCAATAGAGGCTGGGGAATCAAAGGGGAAGCAGCCTCAAGAACGCTCTGGCTGAAGAGACCCAGCAGTTAGCCGGAAGACAGGGCGATGTATGGAGTTCGGAAGCCGCAACAGCATAAGAGGCCAGTGAGCTCCGCTGCCCGGGATACAGCCAAGGTTGAACCTGAATAGCTTGGTGCTGTCTCTGTTGGGTGCCCCCCCTCCCCCGAGATGACAGTTTGTCAGCCGGAGGCAGGGTAGCGTCCAAATCATATCTTTGTGTGCGTGCGTCTGAAGGCAGTACATGTAGCTCATGGCGTGAGGTGGTGGGTGCTGTTGGCGTGGGAGGCTTGGTGCTGTCCCTGCGCGTGGTCTTGTGAGCCATACTGGGGAGTCGGTGTCATCTACAGTAGGCACTGATAGGGAGACCGCCATTGGACCTCAGTGCTTGGGAGCTGGGCATGGAAATGTTCGCGCCGCCAAGACCCAGCTGGCAGGGGAAAAAAGCACAGCGCCACCCCTACACTACCGTTGACTGCAATGCGATGTGGTGGTGGAGGGAACTGAGCATTCGGATACCACTCGCTCTATAACTCAGACCCTGAAGTGTGGTGTGGCTAACCCTGGACTGGACAGGGAATGGTTCTGCCAGCAAGTGTTGGCACAGAATCTCACAGTATAGTGTGCAATGCCATTTGATCATCCGCAGACCGACTCCTGTCGGTTTATAGGGGAGAGTGGGGCTGCGGAATGAATTCCGCACTACCTGTACCTCTCATGCCCCAACAGTCCCAGGGCCGCCCAGTTGACCCTATACATGTATATGTATATCTACTAGGAAGGTGAGGGACCACGGAACGAATTGCCGCACTAACTCATGGAACTCCCATTGACCCTATGTAGAATACTCAGTGTTAGAATAGCATTGAGTCAACGTGGAGCCTGTGAAAATGCACACACAGAAAGAGAAACAAAATGCCACAAACACAACAAATACACAAACCCACTCATTACAACTAAAGAATGCACATTTAATACAATATGTTACAGTTGATCAAATTAACACAAGAACATGTAGCGAAATGGAAAACTTGAGATTTCAAAGATGCCAAAATTGACCTGTTTGTTTGGAATCAAGCTAAGGAAAAGAAGGACAAACATGGCAGCTGCTCCGCTATCAAGTTTTTAGTGAATGGAATCATAACACAAAGGAAATTTGCATATTTAGAGACTGTTTGGGGTAGGTTCAAAGCAGAAGACTATTAAGTTTAATCATAATAAACAGCATTGGTACACACAACAGTACACCCAATATTTTATCAGATTGGGTGGGTGGTCCAGTTAGGGAGAAAATCCAACATACCATTCTTATAGAGCACAAGAATTGGCCACAGGGCTAAATGTTCGGGGCACACCCAGGATTGCACACTTTTTTAAAGGCCACCATGAGAAGTAAAAAGCTACAGCTGCATATCTACAGTATATAAACTCAATGGAGATATGTCACAGATTTTACATTCGGGGCGGGGGGAGGCACCTGGAGAATCCGCTGGAGGGCATGTGCCCCCCTCCCATCAATAAACAGCTATGTGGATAGTACACATAATGTGATGCATGTACATATACACAGACTTGTCACCAGGCTGAATTTAGTGCCGGCTGATATTTTGGCAAAGTGCTATGAGAGGAGCTCTCACGGGTCACGGCCAGGGGTTGAGGGCCCATTCAAAAGCCCTTGGTGGACTCCAGGGGCAACACCCCAGTGGGGGTTGAGGGGACGGAGCCCCTAAAGCACCAGGATTCTGGGGGTTTTCCGACGTTGGTTTTGAGAGGCATGTAATTGGAAGCGGAGCTATTTTTTTTCTTAGGCCTTACTTGTAAAAGATCTGAAAGCTAAATCTGACGTTAAAAAGGTGACAACCTAACTAACGGCAACATATATAGATTTCTCCAAGTAAAAGAGTGCGAACATGCTCACTACTGTACCAGTTTAATTGTAAGTACACGTATAGTCTATACATGCAGTTCCAAGTTAATCTTGCATCCTATTCGTAACATCTTACCAGTGACTGATGTTCCCATGGGTACATTGTCCAGGGCTCCATGGCTGTTGGCATGAATTAGCAGGCACTCTTGACCACCATGCCTGGCCAGCTCAATACTGACTGAGAACTCTCCTAGTTCTTTCCCTGTGTCTGATGTTGTCACTAGAGCATCTGTGAAGAGGATGCTTTGCAGATCATCTGAGGCTGCAGATTACACAATAAAACAATCAAGAAACAATAAGGTTACGGTATCTCAAGGGATCTTGTTTGTATTCTCTCTAGGATCATCATACAAAAACAAATATTTTCCTCATCTGAAAATTTAATATTAAAACATGGTGCATGAAATTGAACACACATGTAAGTACACCCATACTGTGCAACTACAGCTTAATTTGTGGTGCGAGGCTCATAAATGGTTCGAAGTTAGCTATGTTTCATTAAATTGGCTGCTGGTCCAGAACCACGTACATGTATACTGCTTCATTAATTGTTCAATAAAATGAATTTTTATTGATATTTTTGAACAAGCTAGTGTTCCTTAATATTGCTTTCAAAATTTGTGATTTTTAAGTTTTTAAATCCAGCGGTTTATTTTATACAACTTGTGTTCAATTGTTAATTAATATGTAAATAAGAGTAGTTTTAAAAGAATTGAGTCATAAATGCTCAATCAGCACTCAGTGTTCTAGCCAGGCATTCAAAAGCATATCGGGCCGATACGCTGAGCTAAAATACCAACATGCTAAAAATCCCCCAATATGCAATCAATGTGCTTCTGTTTTCCAGAGGAAGGCTTAATGTTAAGTTTAAGAAAAGTTTCATTCAGAGATGTAAAAAAAATTCATTTAAACACCGACAAAAAGTTCCCAGAATATCGGCAAAATGTACCGAAATGGAACGAAATTTCCACAACACAACATAAGGTACACGTCGTACACACGCACAAGTTTTCACAGCTCTGTGGAGACATCACATACATGTACGAGCAACAAACACAATATGGTTCCCCCCATGCAACTGACAAATCAATAGCAAGAGTAGATGGGTTAGGAGCCAGACTATAACTCTGGATTGTACACAACTGTGATGGCATAGCTGGCAGCACGGTAGTTGCCCGAACCTTTCAAATAGNTTGGACATGTTGGGGGGTACCCCTCGGTCTCATTTCTTGCTGGGTATACAAATAGTGTAGCCTCGAAAAGTGTCGAAGTAAGCTACAAGTAACTTGTCACAAAACTTGGTCTCCCTCTCTGTAGTTTCTTTTAATGCATTTTTTTCCATGGATATTTTGATATGCTTTGTCGTGGTCCACAAGGACGATTTTTGGTAAGACCAAACACATGGTCTCGGTGGCCATTGGTGCGTGACAGTACTGTACCACATGGCAGCCCATCCATGCACAGGCATGTCACGTTTTTGCGTCCCTACTGGGTAACTTCACATTGTAGTGTTGAACACAGCATTTTCTTTATATTATTGATATTATCGGTATTGTTAATCATTCTCATTTATTTTTTGGTAGTGTATGCTCGTTATTTTAAGACCAAACTTTTTATTATTTTCAGCACAATCATCTAACTTGCGATATTGATTATGTGAGATGTTTGGAATGATGGCAACTTATATTCTTTTTAACAAAAGTTTTAGAACTCAGCAAGAGTTTTAAGCAGGCACGCCCGTTTTTGTATACGTAGAATAAATTAATCACACATGTTGAGTTAAAACCCCAAGAAACTATTCAGATTGAAGTTTTTCAAATGAAATGAAAACTGAGGTGTACAGTGTACATGTTGGCCTATTAAGCTTGTGTTGTATGTTTTTTCATTGATGCACAGCAAAATAATTTCGTACCATGGAGCTTCTCATACAAGAACAAGCACATGTAAAATACAATTGTGTAGTCGTAAAATGTGATCAGATATCCCTACTTTATTTGCCAATGTCCTTAGCAAAAGTACAACAAAAACACAAAGCGAAGCCCCTTCCCCTAAAAAGTAGACATAGAGAAAAGGGTAGAAGTCAGTCTCAAACTGATAATTTTGCTTTTGACAATGACTGAATGGGGGTACTGGAAACTTTAAAACAAAGCTGTTATAATTAACAGAATAAATGTTAAAACAGCACCCTCAGATGTCAAATAATATCCATAAGGTAGAGGGTTTGCGAATACGCCATGAGCATTTTCTAATCCCTGTTCTTGACAACACTTGAGTTGAGCGGGCACGAGAAAAGCAGTCTTGAACGTGACGAGCAGACCCGAGAGGGTGTTCGCGATTCGATTTTTTCACTCCCCGGTTGTTAGACGGTTGAGCGAGGTGCAACTGGAACAAAATGGTGGACTGTGCAGAGGTTTTAGCACATTCTTCAGTTATTTTGTTGAATAGTGGGCTAATACCTTCCTAATGAGAACAAGAAAACCATTATTAGTGTAGGGCTGAAATTTCACACCCTCGTGTCCAGTTTTCAAACAATGGATTGGTGACCGCGGCCTACGCCATAGCATCTATAGCTATAGGCATGGAGGCAGCCATAAGAGCCAACATGACTTAGCTAATTCAACTTCAAGCTTACATGTATGTTATAGTTATAAAGCTACATTCAAAAGAAACATATGCAACCATACGTATGAAGCCACACCATGATGGTTGTGTTTGTATTGCGCATGCCCAATGTGTATTAGACTTGCGTTGCAGCCGTTCATTGGTATATCAACAGTAAAAACACCATCAACCTGTGAATTGCGGTAGTCAAGCGGTTACAGCATAATGGTTTGTGACGCATGGGGTGTGGGTTCGAATCCCGGGTCAAAATTGTGGGCAGGGAGGTTTTTTTACAAGGAAAATAAAGCCTGAATGTTATAGGAGCCTAATTTCACAAGTACAGTTTTTACGGTTGGTTTAGCATCTAGATGTCATGCATTGTGCATAGTTGTGAACCGTGGTTTGGCTTCATACGTGTGATTGCATATACAGTGGAACACCGCTATAACAAACAAGACAGGGTCCACGTTAAATGTTCGGTACAGCGGTCATTCGGTATAGCAAATTTAACTGCCGAACGTTTTGTTGCCATGTTGAATAGCACCCTCTCTTGTCTAACCGTAGTGCACTGGCACCCTCTTGTGATACATTGGTTCGCTGTTTTCGTGATGTTTTGCCGTTGCATTCAAGTTTAACCTTTAATGTTCTAGAAATGTATCTGTTAATTATTTTTGTTTTTAATTTAAACTTGAGTCAAAAAATTGATATCAAGTTTATCCTTGATATCAAAAAATTGATATCAAGTCGTGAAACTACATGTACCGCTGAGGATTGATCTCTGATGCATGCTGTGGCAAATCTTGGTTGATTTGTGTATCAGCGGCTCTCCCACTGTCTGACTTTTTTATTTTGCACTCCCACTTTTATACCCAGCAAGAAATGAGACCGAGGGGTACCCCCCAACATGTCCAATCCCTATACACATTCCAGACTTTTGTTACTTAACACATCCCCCCCAAGATGTCTGAAAGGAATTCCCCAGATTCCAGCAAGACAATGACCAACACAAAGCAGGGGGGGTTCTCTCCGTCTCATACCTTGCTGCACATGCCCACTTTCCCAAATTCTAGTTGAAAATCTGTGGATCATGGAGTTAAGATAGTATCAGTTGCCTGTCAGGCAGTGAACATACATGTACAAGTAGTGCATCAGTGAGGTGTATAATTCAATAGACAAAGACTTGTATCACGAAAATGGGTAGAAACATTTTCCACAAAATAAGGTTTTGTGTACATGCAACAATGTCTGCCCACATGTTTCCATGCAGCATGGTCTTCTTAATATTGATTAAGGGCAGTTAAAATAATTGAAGTACATATACATGTAATTGGTAAAAGTGGTAGAGAATATTGTCATTATCACCTTTTCTTAACCCTTACTACCCTAAACCTCCCATGCTCCAACAGCAGGTTTTGTGAGGTTTTGGCAGGTTTGGTACTAGACCTGATGAACATGCTATTGAAGTTTGTGAGATTTGGGATGAAAGGCCCAGGGAGATGGTGTTAGAATCTATTTGAGGTGGGACAAACAGGGTTCCATTGTGTGCAGTGTCTGGCTTGCTGTACCATTTATTGGACTATGCTTGATTTTGTCAGGTTTGGTACTGTTCAATATAAGTCATCCTACATGTATACTGCATGGACCCATCCATACCATATCACTCAAACTCCAATAGGTTCATTCTGTTGAAGTTTATCAGGTTTAGTTCACAGACTTGCAAGTACATGTACATGTACAGTACATAGACAAGTAGGCTTGTGTGTACATGTACATGTATCTGTTAGATTTTGTGAGGTTCAGTATGCTTTCTAGTGCAGAAACCTAGGGGGTTAGAGTTAAGACAAAAGGAAATTAGAGAAAACTTCACAGGGTGTAAAACTGGAACTGAAAAAGCTAAACCACCCCATAGTGCTGACAGTGTTTTAGCCAGGATGAAATCAAAGGATGGGGCATCTGCCTGACATGCCGGATATTATGACTGGATATTATTTCAAGTAGCTCTTGAAGGTTTGCATGGTGGAATACGATAAGGTAGAGGGTTTGCGAATACACATGGAGCATTTTCAAATCCCTGTTCTTGACAACACTCGAGTAACACAGGAACGTTGTTCTCGAGCATGCTGTTATGAATGCGCAGGTGAGTGTCACGTCGATACAAAGCAATGCAAAATGGCAGACAAACATAACAAACCTCTGATTTTACACATTTTTGACAACGATACTGGTGACGAATGTGAAGCAGATCAAAATGTAGCCCCCATCCTAGGAGCCCTTCTTTCACTTTGGCTGTTGAAAAGGCTGCCTTTGTTTTTCTTAACTTTTCTCAAAGTATGAAACTAAACATTAAATAAGTCAGTGGAGTGACAACTGTGGTTAATTTTACATCTCTTAATCAGCCAATCTTGTAAAATCATGGCATAAAACCAATGGTGTAAACCTCCTTTAAACCAATAAACACTTTTGGACAACAGTTTCCTCATATATCAAGGCATAATGGTTACTTGGTGGTTACATGTAACAAACAGGGGGAAGCACCTACATACATGTACTGTCAGTAGTTTGTATCCAAACTTTTCAAAAGGGGTAATTTCATTAATGACTACCGCTATCCCCCTTGGTGTATGTACATGTAAAATCATATTGAAATTGGAGGATTTGGGAATGTTGGGGATTGACTATGTGGCTGCCCTTTCTAACGCACTGAAGACAAACTCCTGTGTTCTCTGCCCCTCCTTACATGTACATACAAAATACATGTACACATCACGAGAATGAAAAACTCATCAGGCTTTGGGGGTTTAAAATATGAATTACCCTTTCTAACTTGTTATTACACAACCAGAAATCCAAAAATCTAACCCTGTGTAATAAAGAAAGCAGTCCTCTCTGCATTCAATGAACATGATAAAATACTCACTGATTGAATTGAGGTAGGCCAGTGCATCCTGTGTGGTTGGTACAGGAGATACAGCATTTGGGATAATGGCATCTCCACTGTGAAAAAAGACACATTGTACTCTGTTATTTACTTTAAACAGCAACTACCACACATGTAGTCACTTTCCAGTGCAAGTACTGTACCAGTGCTACAAGTAACCGGTATGTACAAGGTAAATGTGCATGAAGCGAACATGTAAATCTGCAACACCTACATGTACATGTACATGTACATGTACACTGTAAGCAGTACAAGGTACTGATTTTGCGAATGTTGTTAAAAACATGGTCTATCCAATGCATTTTAATAAAACCTTTGAAAGAGAACCTTTGTGTTTCACTAACCTCATTCTTAACCTTTTTTGGGTTGGGTTGGGTTTGGGTTGGTTGTGGCTTGGTTTGGGGGTTGGAATTGGTTTGGGTTTGCATTCAATGTGTATCCACTAGAGACCGGTTTTCGAGGGAATAACAAGACTTTTTCTTTTAATACAAAAAATGGGTCATTCCATGAGGTTGGGCACAATTTATGATGGTGTCCTTGTTACATGGGTGACTTGTACCACCTGTCATAAGCTGTAGAGAAGGTAATTTACTCTGTAAAAATAACACGCACCTTTGTGTTCAGCCTTGCAAGTTGTAACAATGTCAATTTGGAATTCATATGCAGGGAAACACAGTAGCTGTTCATTTTTACGGAACCCATGTAACAATTGACACCATCACAAATTGTGCCCCAACCTCATGAAATGACCCAAATACAAACAAATGCAAGATGTCGACTAATATCCTTATTACCTTCTGTAAGTCAATTTGAAAACAATGATCAAAACTTGATGACCACCACAGCTTTAGCCAAACGGAGTGATTTTCAGTGCTCTTATGAATGTGCCAACCATCACTGACCGTGACCCATTTTTAAGGGTTGTACAGGGGTATGGTGCCCAAGTGAGGCCATGCACGACATAAATATTTGTAACCGTGCTGCTTATCTTGTGCTTTATCATCTTATCTTCATCTTATCCTTTATCACCGGAAGTCATCTTTTCCAAAATCAACCTCTGTTTTTTTACCTGAAAAATATTGTATTAATGATTTGAAATGTCAAAATCAGAAATAAATAAAAAACTATTGCAGGTGTTTCTTTGCTTTCAACTCTAAAGTTTCCCTTTGTTTTGTGTTTTTTCAACTGTAATACATGTAAATTGGCAAATGTTTGAAATTGAACACACTTTCGTTTATTTCTAAAACTGAAACAAACAACATGCTTTAGAACTTACTATGGAGATTATATCATTGACAATGATTTACTTGGCAAAATAATAAACATGCTTGAACTCTGCATTCGGCAAACTGAAAAAATGGCTCATAAATCTCCTGACAAAAGAAGGAAACTACAGTAATAAAATTTACTCCTCTGTGGGTCGGAAGCATGGGAGACTGTGACAAGGTGTGACAATAAAATGTATCCCTTGCTAAGAGAGGGTTGATACTGCAACAGTACTTGATGTGTGTCCAGTGCAAGCAGTTTTTGAACATACTGTACATGTACACTGGCCCCAAGATGTTAAATTGATGGAGTTTGCAAGTTCAATGGGTGGAAATCAGCGGAAAACACAGCACTTGTCACTGTCATCAATACCGGTATCTTGAGTTGCCGTCATCATCATTGGTGGTGGTGGTACTCTGAAGCGATGTTGTGTTCTGCTGCAGGAGCATGACTTGGGCCAGGTTGAGATGGAGAAATTGCACGAGGCTTCTTTGCACTGATGGTGAATAGTTCCTACGGGCACTTGCCCTTGAACGCAGCACTGGACTTGTGCTTCTGCAAGATGAGAGAGTAACATGTGTTTTCCTGTTGGATGTCACATGTTGCTTGTAATATCTAATGAAATCTATTTTTGTCAAAATATTGATCCATATTAGTGTATTTTTTCTATTTTGTACGCCTTTTACGGTAATATTTGTTGAAAGAATGAAATGAAAGAAAAAACCCTACAGTACATTAAATTACCTTTCTTAGAAATACATGTATATAAGTATTAATTTAGATGTTTAATATGCATGCAGGAATTGATAATTTTTATGGAATTGATAATTTTTATGAGCATTTGCAACGTTTCAACTCATCCCTTCAAATGTGAGGGCAAAACAATTTGCTAGGCAAAGAGAAAATGATGTGAGGAACATGTCTTTTCTAAGCATCTGTGCTTTTCCCACATGCTCAGTTGTCAATCGAGTCACATGGCTTCAGTCATACACAAACAGCAACTTTGAAACATTATAAGCTGAAACTCTGAAAGACACTATAATGAATGTTAATTGCCCCCACAATGAAGAATTTTTTGTATCTTGTAAACTAGGCCTAAATACATAAACTTTTGATATTTATGAGTGCAACTTACCGCTAAAGCATAAACTTTCCACATTTTTGGTCAGCGGGGACAAGATTTTCAGCAAGTTTGAAGGTATTTTACGTCACTTAAAGTTGTTTACATCGCGCAGCATAATGCAGAAGGTGAGGATGCAAAAATACCTGTAGAGCTTAAAATACTCTTTTATTTGATGTATAACTCAAGGCATTTGACTAAAGCACCGTCAAGCCTTGTTTTGGTTTGTGAAGACTACAAAAAGGTAACCAAAAATATGCATTTTTCTGTTGAAAATCCCCAAAACATGCATAGGAGTTGATGAAACATACATGAAACAGTGTTCATTTGGAAGCTTGCAATTTCAGGAAGAAAAGGAAATTTTTTGTCCAAAATCGACGTCAAACTGGTGCCGAACAGCCCTTTTGTATTGGGGTACAGTCATGCAGTTGTGTACATATGGTGTATGCATGTGCATCAGATTGATGCATGGTGAACGGGGAGTAAGATGCAAATAACAAGCGCAGAAACCACATGTATTGTTTCAAACAAATGTTATCTAAAGACCCTGTCAAACACTAACAGACTTAAAGGAACTTACGACACCTGACAGACTTGGTCCCCTATTTTTATAGCTATTTATTGATGACAAAATATCACATCAAAACTATGCTTCAGTGATGTTTCACACATCCCTAAACATTTCAAGCCCAACTCAAATGACCTGTTACTGTATACATGTACGTGTATTCTGTGTTCATTATTGATAAAGTTCTCCATCGTAAAAGATATTGTTTACAATACTTTACACTTCTTCTGTGATTTAACTACAGATCTTTGTCCAACTCTGGTACATGTATGTCTGGAAGTGGAACCGATGAGGAACAAGACTCCATGCGGTTCAAATAAATTGATGAAAATAACATAAAAAGTGATGGACCAATTACATGTAGGATGGGTTACTACATGTATATCACATTTGCCAATCGAAATAATAATTGCTTGCTCACCTTCCTGAATTCTCCTATCCTTGCTGTTGTTTAACTCTTACTTTTTAACTGATTCATAAACTTTCGTTTGTGGTTCAATTTATTTTCCTCTATGACAGCTTAGAAAATCTGTGTGCGCACCGTATGCAAGCAGAGGGGGGGTCTCTATTGTAACAATATCAAGAAATACATGTACCTTTTACAGTCGACTCTCGTTAATACGAAGGCCTTGGGACTTACTAAATTAGCTTGTATTATCCGGAGCTCGTCTTACATGAAAGCTGCCGTCTTGCTTTATATATGTATCGCCAATCGACCGTAGGTAAACCGTACATGTGTACAAGTATACTTAAATTTCGGTTAAAAGGCACATAGTATCGTTTTTTTACATGAATTTGATTTTAAAAAGTTTGTTTACGAAAGTAAGATACAGTTTAATGAGTAACGACTTGTAATAAAGAATAATTATAAAATGTAAGAACGGAGGAAGCAGAATTTCCAACAGTCATGTCGATTCAGAGTGACACGGGGGGGGCTTTGGTCTTGGGGAATTTTTAGGGGCGGGGAAATCCAACGAAAGATTTCTTTTGTTCACCACTATCCTAAATACTGAAATACCGTAGCACTTTTGGGAGCACTCGCTTGTGTTCAGGTGGTATGCGAGCCGCCACACAGAATTTCTATGTTGGGTACAGGCAAAGCAAATGCCCACTGTTCGTCTCTCTTGCAGGACACAAATGGCTTGATTCAGTGTGGGAACACTGCAGTGCTGTTCTACCATGTCTACTGTACATGCATGAATTACCTAAGCACCTTTCAAAATTGAATGAACTGGCTGAATTGACAAGTTGCCTTCAAAAAATCTTGCACTAAATAGACAGATTACAATAAATTTGCACCCAGCCAGTGCGCAAAAAATGCTTGTTACATCCGAGCTCCTATTGCACATTTTTCCCCATAGGAATGTATACAATTTACTTGGGACTGGCAAATATGCTCGTCTAAACCACAGTCTCGTCTTACCCAAGCTTGTATTACCAAGAGTTGACTGTAATGTGGCCTTTAAAGCACTTTGTTTAAGAAGATAAAAAGAATGATTTTGTTTCCCAAGGAAACAAAATAGCCTCATTTTGTGATACCGTTCAATTTACCTGTTAATTGACTCCATTTCTTCAGTCTCCTCCTTAAAGATGCCAAACGCAGGGAGAACGAGATGGGAACAGTTGCGCTGTCACCTTACACTTTATAATCCAAAAAGGAAAGACTTCTTTTTTTCATCAGAACTTGTTTACCCGAATCTTATGATGCAGCAACAATTTCGACATTCATCTTATTACTTGAATTGGTGTTTTACCGAAGGAATAATGAATATATGAGTATCGAAAATTTCATTTTTTGGTGGACTCATTCTTTCATCGTTGTCTGAAAAACTGTTAAAATATCTTCTTTCTGAGTTCTCACTCTCCGAGAGTTATAACCTTCTCATTAGACCTGAACTATTTTATTCAAAATCAAAAACTGGGCATTTTCGCAGTTAAAATGTGCCTTTAGACACCTTTGGCCATTTGAAATTGACATACATGTACAGTAGGAACCCAGCAACAGACATCCAAGGGCAGGGTGGTGTTAGAAATACATGAATCTGTCAAAGACATAGATGGTAGGTAATGACGGACACGGTCAAGGAGAATGTACAAATTTCGGAAAAATTACATCTTTTATTAAAAATTGTCCAACATACGGAAACATGCAGAATTTTTCTGTTTCAATAAAATGTATCCTCAGGTCATAAACTGTTAATTACCTGGGCAAATATTGCAGTTTAGGAACTCACTGGCAACACAAAATTTCTGATACTGCAACAATAGAGTCAGGCCTACCACAATAATATAGGAACTGATTAGGGCTATACACCTAATTTTAATAATAAAAATTCATATTCATAACTTCACTATGTACAAACAACTATTGAGCTAAATTTCATACCATTCAATTTCTTTTAAAATTCTCTTTCCACTAAATTTGTGGGGGTCAAAAAAAAAAAAATTGAAGAGTAGGTCTTGCCCTACATGTACCAGACTCCCTACTGTAACGTTAGTGTAGGGCTCCTTGACATCAGGACCTCCAGACCTCCAACGATATTTGCCTGCAATTTAGGACCCTGTATTTTTCATACATTAACTATGGTATTTTGGAAGACTTCTGGAATGTTTCTTGCACAACTGTCCATTAAGGGACCCTCGGGAGGACTCCACTGGCTTACGGTCATGAATGCAAACCATAATGCACTGTGTACGAAGAGAGCCACTCCATTAACTGACGTAAATACATGCCCAGGTGATGCCTGCGTGGTGGTCAGAAAGTTGGTCATAAAAAGCCGTCAATTCCACTCACCTTAAACCATCTGTTATTTTTTCCTCCATTTTCGATGGGATTCAAACGTCAGTAATAGGCGAATTTCTGTATAATTCGAATATGTTTACAGGCGAAATTGTAATCACTAAGCGTTTACCCCGTACCTAGCATTACTCATCCTTTTCTAGTGGCCCTAATCATGTATATGAAACCATATGTACCGCGCCGACACGCCGTCAGACGTCTCATCTCAGCCCGTCAACACCGCACACCGGTACCCCGTACCGGATTTATTACATGCGCCCAGTGCACGGCAACATGGGCGATGGTACGTAGGTACGATGGTGCGTAGGTCACTATGGAATTATGTAAATAAGTCAATCACTTAAATATAGGGTTAATCGGTTGAAGAATTCATCTGATGTGATTTGACGTATATATATTTCCTTTCTTTTTCCTTGCAAAATATGTAAACAGCGGCTTACTCTCTGTGAAGAAATCTGAAAGTCGCTTCTTACAACCCTCCTAAAAAGAAAAAAAATGAAAAAAATGTTTGGTAAATCTCCCCCCTCAATTTAAATGGAATGATCTAACACACTTAGCAGCAGATTACATGGAAAATACAAACCAAGTGAAACAATTTTGTCTGCTGCATGAAAGCAAAACATAAATTAATTGAAAAGACATGTTGCAGTCAAATTCTGTTACATAATAATTTCTCCACCAAAGTGCTAGTGGAGCATTTGAAATTAAGATATATAAGCCTACTTTCCTCTCTTCTCAATAAGGAGGCGCCATGGCTTAGTCGGTTAAAGCGCCTGTCTAGTAAACAGGAGATCCCCGGTTCGAATCCGGGTGGTGCCTTGTACAAGATGTACATTTTTCTGATTGCAACTTGATGCTATTGTTTTTCCCCTTTCAAAGCAAAATTAAACCTTTCCCTTGGAATTTGCCATTATTATTCTTTTCAATTTTTCATACTGCAGAACATAGTACATGTACAGTGTTTGTGCAAAAGAAGTACAAAATACATGTAAGTACATCATAATAATAACAGTTTTTATATAGCGCATCACACCAAAGTCTCGCGGCACTTCACAAGACAATTAATGGAACCGACAAGTTTGAAGGACTGTGTTAAATTCATTTTCTTTATAGACAATTCTGATAAGGTGTGGAAGAGAGTTCCAAAGCGATTGTGATGCATGCATGAAGGAACGATGTCCATAGGGAGCACAATCTGTATCTGAGTTGTCAAGTTTATTTCTCAGAACTTTAATTTTGTCTGAGAAAAAGTTTGCAAAGTTAACAGGTAACAGTTCAAACGTTGCGGCAGAGGGGAGAATTTGCAATGATGACGGTGTACTCATTGTATTGGTAATTTGAAACAGACATTTTGAGTCACAGTTTTTCAAGTGGCTCTTTGTGATAGATTTTGTTTCTTTGAAAATCTGCCTATGAACCGCCAACTTTGGAGATTTCCAACGTCGCTCATGAAGACGCAGCTCATGCTTGGCTGAATGAATGTCATTGCTAAACCAGGGTGCATGAGGACGGGCTCTAATGTGACTTTTTGCAGGGGTGCGTGCTTATTAAGCAAATCTCTGAGAGTCTGCCCGTACTGAGTAACCAATGTGTCAAGATCCGTGGAAGGGGATGTGCACATTGGAGAATTCAAGATGTCCTGACGGACAGGTATATGTATTCAGATTAGAAAGCTTGGACCCTAAATATAGTATAGATCCCCCTCCTCTGTATCACTGGTGTATTTTGCCTACCAGTGGCTGGTGAACTGTGGCTGGCCGCCTCCAGTGTAAAGAATTTCTGTTGGTCCAAGGCAATCCAATAAACTCTCCTAAAACTGTGAATATTGATAGATTGCTCAGCATGGGATACCTCTTCAGCTGGAAGAGATGCATGTCAGCAGCATTTCAAAACTTTTCAGTTAAAACCACATTAATAACTGCTATATGACTTTGACTTATGATGCAAAATTTGGCTGAAATTGTCTCAATCATTTTGAGGAAAGGCTAATTTAAGGCAACAGTTGCTGGAGAAAATCTGTTTATCAGGCAACAAAACTGCACACAAGACAACACTTAAAATGATGTCACAACACCTATTCAATTATAAGGTCATACTTTCACAGTGGTGCTTTTCTCACCCAGTATCTTCTGCATTTCTACTTGGAATCCAATTTGAGATGACATAAAACATTATTGACAAAAAGCACTCAATTAGGAAGCTGAAAACCTTTTGTACGGAAATGACTTTATTTTTCACAATTCTTCAAAATTCTCCCCCACAAGCTAAATATTTGGTCACAACTATCCAATTAAAAAACACAGATACTTCAGAAAAGCCAGGATTTGAATACATAATGACCAAACTTAGAAGTATCTACTTATTTAAACAACTTTCATTATGTGAAAGGTAGCTAAAAGTGCCTTTTTATGTATTTGTGGTTGTAGTTCTGCCATGTCAGTGCACATACAATTTGAATATTTTACCATTAAAAAGGCATCTGAATAAAGCATTCACAAAACTAAGTCTTAGGCTACATCTGAGTCTGTTGTCTGAGCTACAGTAGCTGTTGGTCTTCACTCCATTGGAGGTACCCAGAGACGTGCAGACAATACACTCAACTGTAGCTCTGGTATAATAATACATATTGCTATTACCATGCCAGTGTTTGTATGAGCACAGTGCCCTCTGACATATTTCATTTAGTGTTTGCCTGAGCAGCAGAGAATGGAAACAGGAGATACACTTTGAGCTGCAACATAACTCTACACCTTGCAACATGTGCGAGTGTGGTAAGTGAAACTTGTTAAATCACAAATACTTCCAGTACTAAAAACAACATATTTGGTGGGGTACAAATTGTACATTAACCACAAGGACATAGCAGGGGTAAAATTACAAATCTGAAGCAGATTGGTGGTACCTGTCACCTCCATGGTAAGGACAAAATCATTGCTACAAAAAGACAAATGCAAAGACTTACTCCTGACACACAAGAAATCCGGTACACACACTGCAGTATGTCCTTCATTGGTTCTCATTTGTAGGCCACATAATTCAAAATCAAAAGGCCACACAATCAAAAGTTCCTCCATGCAGCCCATAGTCTGCATGATCAAACAAGAGTAAACAGTTCTGACAATAAAACAGAATTGGTATCTATTCCAAAATGGCATGACTATGTCTCAGCTCTATGTAGCATGATTATTGTCTACAAGTTGGAAAAATCAACTATCCCTCTTGCTGAGTGCTGTCTTCCTGTCACTGGTCCATTTACATAGGGTAGTTCAGCAACACATCCTGTCGGGCCAACTCCAACAACATAGGATCATCAAAGAACTTGTTGATACTGACATCCTCACTGAGGCCCTACAGATATATGCAAGCAAAAAGTAAATACACTCACTCTTTAAAGGTTCCTATGGAATTCTTGGTAACCATACTAAATAACAACATATACAGTCCTTCAGTCACTACTGCATAAGTATTTGTAAGAGCTCCAATAAAACCATCTTTCAAGGCCTGAACACATCATGATGATCACTGGAACAATTTAATGAACACTTGAGTCCCAGAACAAAGACCACAATGAAATTTCAGAAATAAAAAAATAGTCATGTGGAAATTGTGTCTTTCACAGAAGTGACATTACTTTGGTCTTTTGAACTGCCAAACCAATACCAACATTTCAGGGAAAATATAACTGTACAATGTTGAAAACAAAAACTGCTGTGAACATGTTTCTACAGGGTGTCCCAGAAAAAAAAGCAAGCCCTGAGGAAAGGGGTTAATATGCTTAAACAATGAGATATGATTATAATGTATAAGGATCTCCGAAATGTAGAAGCAGTATTCTTTCTAATGATACCCTGTCGGCATCCCTCCTGTCATGCATGACTGAACACCATTGTCTTGAAAATGGGGCATCCGAACTCAGTTGTAACACTTTGGATAAACCAGGACACCCTGTATATTTCTTTACAATGACCTTGGCCTTTTGACTTTTTAGATCCTAAAGTGATCTAGCCTTCCCTTTTATTAGAGGACAAAGTCATCTTTTCCACACCACATCAATAACCAGATGTGCACAACAATAAATCACAATACCACTGCAGCTCTATGGGTCCTGTGCCCACCAAGTCAAGAAATGATACCAAATGTGTACAACAGTGACTGAATGAGAATTTAATGCATCGGTCGGTAGTATCTTTGAATGGAAGGTACTTCAGCATCAGATCATGATAAAATATGCATCGAAAATGTCTGTCGATATTAGACACGCTCTACATTTTATCCTCAATGGAAAAGCGTACAAGTAAGGATTCCAGAAATTAGGGGTCCAAAAGTGTGACATTTTGGTGTCCCTGTTACATCTGACCTTTGTTATTTGACATGGAAATATCACTGGAGTTGATTTAAAACCATTACCATTTGTTTGGCAGGTAATTTCCATTAATTCATCAGTCTCGAAAATTAGAAAATGTATTCTGAACTTACAGAATCATATGTCAGATGTGACATGTCCTGGAAATTGCTCTTATCATTTGACAGCACATTTAACTTGTTTCTTTATTTTAGAAGCATCAGCTTTATCCATGAGTTCATGAGTTTGCAGTCTTATATCTCCATTTGTTGTGCGAGCGGAAGTTTCCAGCAGCCTGGTCTTTTGTTACGAGTGCCGTCTTTTGTTAGAAGGCAAAGTTCCCTTTGTCCGATATCGGAGACCCCAGCCACGCATATAAAGAATACATGTCCGAAACCGGAATCCCCGGAGGCAAGCGGTTAAGGCACTGCATCAGTGTGGAGAATGCACAGGGCTGAAGGGTAGGAAAAAATCAGAATTTAACAACGTAAATACCTTCCTTCTTCTGGTCTTAATCATGAACTCTCGAGCAAGGTGCATTGCAGGTTGTGGCTCAAGGGGGCGTATCACGATACTCTTATCCAAAGGATCACCAGGAACAATCTAAAATGAAATATTGTAAATCGTACATGTATACAACTTTGCATCCAACAACAGTGCTCTATGACTGTACTTACAATTTTAAGCTCAACACATTCTTAAATTCTGCAAGAAACTAATTTTCAACACTTGATACTAAGACTAAAGGGCAACCAAAGCACCTACATGCATCTTTCAAGACTCTTATTCGTTGTGGTCAATACATTTCCATGATCTTGACCACAAGAGTATTAAATGTAAACCAAACTGCTGAAGGTCTCAGGTTACTATGTTTTACACTGAGGTTATATTTCACTTCTTCCTGACTTGCCCATGACTGCCTGTCCAAGTCATTGTCCAGGCTATGTCTCTCATGTATAGCAACTTAGGTGTCATTTCTTTCCTGTTCTTTTTAGCTGTGACATCCTTTCTG